ATGTTTTTTTTTGATTTCCAAAAAAAATTTCTTTTCTTTTCATTTTTCTTCGAAAATGGATTTTTCTTTCTATTTTTTTCGTTCATTTTCTTTCATTCTTTTTTTTTTTCATTAAATTTTCTTTCGTTCAATTTCTTTCTTTTTTCGTTCATTTTCTTTCATTCTTTCTTTTTTCATTCATTTTCTTTCTTCGTTCATTTTCTTTCGGTTTTCGTTCATTTTCTTTCATTCTTTCTTTTTTCATTCATTTTCTTTCGTTCATTTTCTTTCTGTTTTCGTTCATTTTCTTTCATTCTTTCTTTTTTCATTCATTTTCTTTCTTCCTTCATTTCCTTTCATTCTATTTTCGTTCACGTTCTTTCATTCTTTCTTTTTTCATTCATTTTCTTTCTGCGTTCCTTTTCTTTATGTCTTTTTTTATTCATTTTAATTTTTCCTTCTTATTTTCACTTTTTCATTTTTAATTTCTTTTAAGCAATTTTTTGGGGTATCGTTTTATATATTTTCTTCTTGTTTCTTTCTTTTTCTTAATCTTTCATTTTTATTTTCCTTTTCTTTCAGTTTTCTTTCTTATCTTCCTTCTGTCTTTTTGCTTTCCATCCAAAACCGTCTCCATTTTTCTAACAATTCAATTTTATCTGATCTAACTACCTTTTATAAACCGACTAACAATTTGACCAAAACGTTTAACTCACGTTTAATCCGTCCCCTTCTATCAACTCATAATTCTTAATAGACACGGTAAAGGGATAATAAATGAGCAAGAAGCGTTCTATTACAGCGAATTTCAACCTGGGGAATATCTTATAATTCCTCAAAAACATATAGTAGTCCATCTCTCTGTAAAAGACAGAGATTGCACACTAAGTAAATTATCCTAACAAAAATGTTTTTATGAGTTTAAAACTATTATTCTATAAGCAAGTCGCGTGTCAGGAAGAAATTATTTCGCGTCTATCTGTGTGGAAATGGTGTTTCTGAAATGATTGTAGGGAATTGTACAGGCGCTAAAATGCTTGCCTATTTCCTGAAAGGGAAATAACAGAAAATATCTACATGACGTCTGTTGCCAATGCAGAGTGCTTGTCATTGCATTTAGAGTGAATCAATGTCCAATCGAGTTACTGCCAAAATTAATAAAATAACACGGTGAAAAATTAGAAACTTAGAACAAAATCAAAAATATAAATATATATAAACATAAACAATAATTATATATATATATATATATATATAAAGAAAGAACAGTCAGATTTATAATGGTTAGTTCTAATTTATTTATTTTAAAACAGTGTTCGAAACAGCAGCATATTAAAATTATTATTTAAATATGTTTTCATCGCGATACAAAAATTACCACATTTTCGAAACAAAACCTAAATCTTAAATTAAACTTTCTTTTGTTTTTTTCAAATGTTTTCATTCTTTCTTTTTAAATTTGAAGTTCAGTTCCATTTTCAAGCGATGCTGAATAACTTTCGAAAAAAATTGATTTACTCTAGAAGCCAAATAGTATTATATATTTTAATTGGTGGGGAAATGAGAATTCAAATTCTTTTTTTTTATTAAGGGAGTGTTGGCTTCTTTTTTTTTTTTTTTTTTTTTGATGAATCAAGATACAAGTATACTTTTAATGTGGCAAAGTGAAAAGTTGTCTTTTATAGAAAGTTTGATATTTCTCTGTCTTTTGATACTGACTTCCTTTTATGCGAACGTGTCATCATTGTCTAGTTATTTTTTTTATTTTATTTTGGGTTACACTACAATACAATAGGCATTATACACACTTTTTGTCATTCATGAGCACTGGGTCAAAACCGGGAAGCATTCGACAAACTCACCACAGTTTGGGCTGTTGTTATCCTCTATATCCGACTTCCGGGCCTCATCATCTAGAACCAGTGGTAAGCCACTGCGAGGTTCATCACAAATGGACAAATTTCCTTACCTGAACTTCAGGAACCAATGCCTGGCGGTGCGTTCAGACAGTTTTATCGCCAAAGGCTTGACGTATTCGGCGACATCTGAGATTTTTGAACCATGCCTTTGAGGGACCCAGCGTTGACTTATGGGACCCATGCCATCTTCTTCTCGTAACCGGTTTTAATTTAGAATAATAGACAAATAGTCACCCTCAATTTTTTAACCTTTTTTTGTCCTGATATGTCATTGCAAACAGTCATCTTTGTGTCACCCAACTCTTTTTTATCTTCGGATATTAGAACTAGGTTCAAAAACAGGGGTTCCAGCTTCATATTGGCTGATTTGAAATTCTTCTTGCATGGGCATGTTCTCATCTACCTCAACCTGCATATAAACCCCAGGTTAATGGACAATTAGATGTATAATGGCATTGTAAAATAAAAGAATTTAATGACTCTTGTTTCAATGCATTCCCTATAAATCAATGGGAGAATGTTCTGCCAGATGATTTTTAATCATTCAATGCGCATACTGCTTTCAACAGGTACGAATGCTATACCTCTTTGAACTACATTCAACTATCCTTATTCTGAACCTCCAAAAAATTCTGTTCCAACATGGCTAACAACACCAGTAAAGGTTCTTTTGAGATGATACGTAAAGACAATCAAGTACGAACAGTGGAGGAGGTGCCGTTTTTTATTCCATGTTCAATCCGCTATTAAACGGAACTCTTTTGTCAATTTGGTGTTATCGAATGATGCATTTTGTTAGGACGAGGAACCTTCCTTTCCTGTGGAAGATGTGCGTAGTATCTACTACTTGCCCTGCAAAAGAATACCCGCTCGGCCCGGTGGCTAGGATCAAAGTGTAGTATCTGCGCTTTGTGAGCTGCCAGGTTGGGTGTCTGTCGAACTCTCTGCTTGCAGAGAGGAACCCGGACGAAGCTCCGCCGAAGGGGGTGGGGTTTCGTTGGGGAGGTTGACAGAACTAGCCCGCCTCGGCGGGTTTGGATGGTTATTTATTTTTTATTTTTGGCTGGGCCTACGGGCTCAGAGATACCCACATTAAAAAGGCCTTGTGCCTCATTCGATCCCCGTGGGTGAATTGATAAATACCATCTACTACTTGCCCTGCATAAAAGGCAAACCTCCATTACCAATCTGACGCTCAGCATCTAATAAAGCAACCATGCCTATTGGGGGGCTCAGTGTTGACTTCAAAAGGACCCATGCCATCTTCCTCTCGTAACCGGTTTCTTTAAAATAATGGACGAATATTCACGCAGCCCATTCGCCTCTGTTTGTCCTGATATGTCATTTCAAACAGTCATCTGGCGCTTCACGGAACTCTTTGTCATCTTCGGTATGCCAATATACGTGCATTTAGACAGGGGTTCCAGCTTTATGTCGGCTGAGGTGAAATCTGTCTTGCAGAGGCAAGGAATCTCAACTCGGATTGAGGAATCGGAGAGCCGAGTTCGAAATCCAATCGAATCCATTACATTTACTTACTTGCTAATAGCCTTAGGAAGGGTATGAATCCTCTTCTCTCCCCAGCTATGGGTAAATAGGAGTACAGACCGGGTTCTATATCCTTGGATGGCGACCGGTCTACTGCAGAAAGAAATGTTAACCTACTACGGGAAAAAAAAATCTGCCTCGTCAGTCATGTATCGAAAGATACATGATCGCCTAAGCGTGTATCAGGCACTGCATATAACTGACTGATAGATCGTTGCTTTTGCCATAGGAAACTGAGTATGAGGAGACAATATTATCATATTATTATTATAATATTTTTTCAGTATTATCATATTATTATTATATTTTTCTTTTAACTTTTGTTTTTCTTTTACCAGTAAGTATCATTGCTAGCTTTCTTTGACTGAGAGCTAATGAAGAGAAAAAAAAAAGCACAGTACAATAATTTAGGAAAGAAAAGCACAACACACGAATGTATACAAAATGGCAGTCGACTAAGAAATGAATCCGTTCAGGTTAACTCGGTTCCGCTCGGTTCAGCAAAGTTGTTCGAGAACCGAAATTTTGTTGAATAACCGTAGCATTTTAATCGCGAATATTCTGTTCGGAAATCAATTTGTTCGACTTGTAGGTTGAATTTCGAGAACCGAAGTTGCTCTCTCTCTCTCTCTCTCTCTCTCTCTCTCTCTCTCTATCTATCTATCTATCTATATATCTATATATATATATATATATATATATATATATAAAAAATACTAAAATGCCAGCCTACTTCACAACCCGGTTTTCGACCACCAAGGACCTTTCTTAAATAGGGGTTGTGAAACGGTCTGAAACCCGGGTTGTGATAAACTCTTTTAATATATATTATATAATATATATATATATATATGTCTTATAGTAATGTATAATGTATATAGCTAATGTCTTAGCTCTACTTAAACTTTGTGTTTTTTAATTTGATCAATTGTTGATCACGCTAGATAACACGCTCATTCCCAGAAACTGAAACTAATGTCTACTCAGCATAGTCGCATTGTAAACCACAGGTGGGCTCTGTAGGTGTTAAACACAAATGTACCTGAGCAAGCGTCTGCAATAGGTATTGGCTAGCCGCCCTAGTAAACGGGTATCATCGAATACAGGAGGACAGCTAAAGATATGTAGGATAAAATTAACATTTTCGCTTTTATTTAAACTTAATCAGAAAATTGCATATGTATATTGTACTGGTCCCACTTTACTTGGGCATTGAGACGAATAAGAAGAATATGAATAAGAATAAGGATAAGAATAAGGATATACGAATACGAATAAAGATGAGAAGAAAGATAAGTATACGAATAAGATTACGAATACGAATAGAGATAAGAATACGAATAAGAACAGAAATACGAATAAGGATAAGAATAAGGATAAGAATACGAATAAAGATCAGAATACGAATAACAATACGAATACGAATAAGAATAGAAATACGAATAAGGATAAGAATACGAATACGAATAAAGATAAGAATACGAATAAGAAAAGAAATACGAATACGAATAAGAATAAGGATAATAATAAGGATATACGAATACGAATAAAGATGAGAATAGGGATAAGAATACGAATACGAATAAAGATAGGAATAAGAATACGAATACGAATAAGAATACGAATAAGGATAAGAATACGAATACGAATAAAAATAGGAATAAGAATAAGAATACGAATACGGATAAGAATACGAATAAGAATAAATACGAATAAAATAAAAATAAGAATAAAGAATACGAATACGAATAAAGAATACGAATGGAAGAAATACATTCTCGAATAAAATAAGGAAAGAAATAAGGATATACGAACGAATAAAAGATGAGAATAGGGATAAGAATACGAATACGAATAAAGATAGGAATAAGAATACGAATACGAATAAAAATAGGAATAAGAATAAGAATACGAATACGGATAAGAATACGAATAAGAAAAGAAATACGAATACGAATAAGAATAAGGATAAGAATAAGGATATACGAATACGAATAAAGATGAGAATAGGGATAAAAATACGAATAC